GGCAGGAAGGCAGGGACTGTGCCATGGGGCCAGGGCTGATGGGGTTCCAGGGTGGGGCGGCAGGAGCAGAGGGCCCTGGCTGGCAGAACTCTATGGAGCAAGGCTGGGCTGTGCCGTCACAGAGCAGGGAGCTCGCCTAGCTCCTATAGAGCCCCTGCCAGCCTGGACCCCATGCTCCTGCTGCCGTGCCTTGGGCCCCCTCTGGCCCTGGCTCTGGAGCACTGGCGCAGGCCCCATGCTCCTGCCTAGCTGTTGCTGTGCTCCTACCTGCCTGCCCACTGCCAGTTTCCCCTCTGCTTGCTGCTGCTGCCACCGCCATTTCACCGCTTTTCCGCCCACTGCTACTGCTTCTTTCCACCCCCCTGCCTGCCAGTCAGCCACCCCAGCACTCGTGGTTCCTGGCTGCATTGCTGGGATTGCAGGACGTAGCAGGAGCTGGCCTGGCCTCGCCCCCGTGATTCTTGGCTGGCTCTGTGCTGGCCAGGCCGGGCTGGCTCCTGCTGCATCCTGCGGTTCCAGCCATGCAGCTGGGAACCGCGTGGTGATGGAGTGGTGGGTGCCAAGGGGTGGAGGGGTAGCGGATGGGAAGGTAGGGAGGCAGCAAGAGAAGGGCAGCAGTGGCAGACAGGAGGGGGAGGTGGCAGGGGGCGGGCGGGAGCATGGGGCTTGTGCTGGTGCCCCAGGGCCAGGAGCAGCAGGAGTGCAGAACCTGGGCTGGCAGGGGCTCCACTTGTCATGGGCCATGAGCACCCTAAGGCCTCATGGCCTCCTACTACTGCTGCTGGTGGTGGCAGGGGGCTATGGGCAATCAGGGAGGGGTGTGTGTGTGTTTATAGGGCAAGTCCCACACCTCACCACACATGTATCCACACCCTAGCCATCCTCCCCTCCACACATGCCACAACCCTCCCCAGTCACCTTATCCCCCACAAACCCCATACTCCCCCACACCTCACATATCCACACACACCCATGCCCCTCATTCCCCCCCCACCCCACAATATACAAGAATAAGACTTCATTTTACACTATTATGCAATCACCTCTATGTATAAAATGCAAACACATGTAAACCAGGACAAAAATATTTTTTGAAATCAAATTAATGAATGTTGTAGTAGATGTTTGATTTTTAGAATATAATTTGGTATTTTTCTGGTTTCAAGATGGCAAACTCCGTTGCTGAAAGGCGTAGTTCTGGGGCAAGGGGAGGGACTTCTGGTGGCAAAGGTCATTGGGGGTGGGACTTCCAGTCCCCAAATGGCAACTGGAGGCTACCCATGTGGCCCTCAACAGCTTGCCAAAACTTGGTAAGTGTCCCTCCAGCTGAAATAATTGCCTATCCCTGCTTTAGGACAGTTATACTTGACCTCAACGAGAATGAAAATTACGATTTTTGTGCTCTGAGTTGGTAAAGTGCCACTACTTCAATGTAATATTTAGCAGAATATTTCAGATCACAGAAGTACCATATTTACTTCTATGCCACAAACCTTTTTCCCCAAAACCAACCCTCCGAACTTGGGGTGCATATTTGAAGGTGGGAAGCAGATTTCTGCACTGTAATAGTTGCCGCAGCTCTGTTTCTCTCTCTGGCTGCAGAGAGGGAGGACAAGAATGCACTCTGTAGTATTGGAATCAGAAATCTTGTGGTAGAGGCGATTATCTTTTATTAGACCAAATAGATAGTTGCAAAAAAAAATTTCTTTATTTGCAAGCTTTCGGGTTCATGCGCCCTTCCTCGGGCAAAGGAAAATGGAAAGATTTTAAATTTCTCCCAGGTAGAAATGAAACTTAATATTGAACAGGAGAACTGGAGGTTGGTATAAGTTCTCCTGGGTGGAAAGTTTCATTTTATGTAAATTAGGCTTGGATAAACGTTGGAGCAGTCTATTTACCTCAGAGGTGTCTGGTAGCAAGCAGGATGTTGAATTTTGCTTCTTTCTTGTTAAGCTGTTTCATATTGTGCCAGAGGACTGATGATGAAATGGTTCTCCTGGGTTAAGGAAGTTTTGTTATGGTGAAGTTGCTCTTCAAGTACACAAATTTGGCTTGAACAAAAGGCTGGAGCAGGGGTGTTTGCATCCAGGTCTCAGGTTGTTGGATTTTGCATTCTTTTTGTAAAATTATGAAGTTTTCATTTCAAAATGGCTAATTATGATATCTTCCATGTTTCAGGGATATAGGTTGTAGCTGTGTTGGTCTAAAGGCAAAAGCAGTGGCCAGCTGTGGCTGCTCAGTGGCCAGAATCCATTGCTAATCTGCTGCCAATTTGGCAGTGGCTTCCAGGGCTAAAACTCTTTTTGCCAATAATCAGGATCACCTACAGTCAGGATTCAGGAATGACTGGAAAAATATTTTTTCCTTCTTTCTGGATCCCAAAACAAGGTGTGCATTTTACTTGGGTTGTGTGGTAGGCAAGACATATCGTATTTATGTATAAATGTCATCCATGTTTTTTCAGAGTAGCCTTTTAATAATTCTTACACTAGATTATAATTAAATTCCAAAGAAGAGATAAAGGCCCAGTTTTGCAAAGATTTAAACATTTGCTTAAGTTTTATATGCAGATTTAATCTCACAGTGCAGGAATTTAAAATTTGTAAGGCTGCATATAGTCTTGTAAGTACTGGAAGCAAAAGGAAAACATAATTGTGAGTCTTACTATCCTTCACACACTCTCCATTCTTACTTTGTACTTGGTACTTAATGTATCCTTTTGTTCTGCAGGTACCACTTAAATCTGAAACAAGAGGAAATAATGCAAGAGATAGAGGGCTATTTTCCATCATTTTCTAAATGGGCAGAAGATTACATGTGCAAGCCTAGTCAAGATAACCAAAGTAAAATGCAGCTGAAACTGTAAGAAATTAGTACATGTAAATAAAGTTTTTTGTTTTGATCTCACAAATTGTTCACTAGTAAAATTACTTAAAATGGTGTCTCCATATAGCTTTAGTTTAGTTTAATTTTAAAATCCAGAAAGCTTCATCCTTGATTTGTACAAGATTGCACTTAGTGATACAAGACTCACTGAGGACCTCATTGGCTAGAATATGAGCCATATTAGGTGAAGAACTGCTTAGTACATGCTGGGTGCATCTATATATCCAGTTAGCACACCTGAATAAACTTTGAAGCACTTGGTGCCAGAATTTCTTGATCCCAGGTGCAGTGTTTACACATGCTCCTGGGACTGCAGCATGTTGAGCCAGGGCAGCATGGCCCTGGCTGGCAGGGGGCCCAGGGGGTCAGCCTGCCAGCCCAGAGCTGCTGCACCCTGGTTCAGTGTGTTACAGGGGGGCAGGGGCACAAGGGTGCTACAGTGCAGAGGTAGCTGGCAGGCAGGCTGGCTGCCCTGCACTGTAGCACTCTCATGCCTCAACCAGCCCCGGTCACCATCTACACATGTGTTGCGGCAGAGTAAATAACTCCTCTGTAGGATAGTACTTGTGTTGGGCAGTACTATCTTATGGTGGAGTTAATCAGTTTACTTGAGTCTAATAGCACTGTATGTATAGATGGTGACACCTTACTGCTGAGTTGACTAATTAGCTCTACGCTAAAGTTCACGTGTAGCTGCCCCCACTAAGTTGTGTGGTACCATTTTCACTGGTTGAGAAGTAGGGTTATAGGTGATAGAAAATAGCTTTTATTGAACTTTTGGGTTTAGATTCTTCTCTGGGGTACCTTGAGATTCTTTCAAGGGTGTTGTGAGGTGCCACACAATGTTAGTACTGTTAGGTTTGCAAATATGATTTAGAGATTTCAAATAGGAATTCATAGTATTAAGAAGTGTTCTGACCTACTATGGTTTTTCTGAGTTCTGTACAACAGAAGAAATACTCTATTTTTCTGCAGTCAGAAAACAAGTGGAAAAATAAGACCTGTCATTTTCTGAGGGATACCTAGAGTCTAAAAGAGGTTCTCAACCAAGTAATGAGTGTTCTGTTCAGACAAATTTTTATATAGGAAGAACTAGAGTATTTGATCTACTGACTAAACTACAAAAATATTGTGTGTGTATACTAGTGTGTATTGATCTAGCTTTTGTACTTTGTTGCAAGGTTTTTCTTTCTTGCTGAACATGTTTCCTTGCTCACTTCCGTGTAATGGTTAGCTTTCTATTCCCTCCCATAGCACAAAAACTGTGTGTGTGTTTAACAGAGCAAACAAGCAGAACATGGTAATTGCAGGAATTCACCATGACACTAAAGAACTCCAGCTCAAGTAGTTGGAACTTGGAGAGGACCAGCAGGAGAATGAGGCAGAGCTCCACAACCAGCTTGGTTTAAAAAAAAAAAAAAAAAAAAAGAGGAGTTGAGACAAACTTATAGGGGAGGGAAGCAGGGAGAAGAATAGGATAACAGAAAGAGGAGTTTCTGGCTCTCCAGGTATGATGTGGCTGGTTGTCACAGGGGGCTGGGAAGGAAATTTTCTTTTCCTGTAGCTACAGATGTGAGGTGTTTGCTTTTCCAGAAATTTTGCTTTTTTTTTTTTTTTTTTTTTTTTTTAAGTCTTTCTTCGAAGCATTGTGTATTGTCTGCAGTTGAGGTTGGGGATTTTAACTGGGGTGTACTGATGCTCCTGCTGGAATATAAACCTAGAAGATCCTACTCTTCTGCTCAGAGTCAGACCAATTGGTGCCTTTGGGATCAGGAAGGAATTTTACCCCATGGTCAGATTGGCATGGCATGTTAAGGTTTTTGTTTTCCTGTCTGGCTGGGGGCATGGCCTTCTTCCTTGGATCTCTCAAGTGTATTTTAACGAACAACTTCCTGTCCTTGAAGCAGCAGGACATTGATAGTGTCCTTGTCCCTTGCTTTACCTGTGGCAACCTCAGGTGCTCTTGGTGTTTTGGGGCATTGTGTCTGGTAGTTGTGCAACAGGGTTGTTCATTCAGTTTTAAGACTATATTAGAAATGTTTGTCTAGGATGGTTTTGATAGGGGTGATTCTGCCTTGAGCAGGGGATTGGACTAGATGATTTGTGAGGTCTTTACCAGCTCTGTTTTTCTGTAATGATGTGAAACTTTAAGGAAAGTAAATATTTCGGTGCTTAAATTCCTTTTAGAAATCTTTGTTAAAACACTGAGAATAGTAAGGCTGCTTAACTGAAACTTATGGAGGATGGGTCCATTGGTGCTCTTAAAATCAGTTAGGCATGTAACCTTAGGCTCAGGACATGGCTAAATTTGTTACTATTGGTAACTGGGACATTATTTGTCCCAGTTACATTGTGCCTTTTTTGCACTTTGAAAATTCAGATCTGGTTGTTTTTAAAAGAATTCTAATCTCTAGGTTGGAAGAACTTTCTATATGCCAGCAGGCGTGTGTACACGAGATGCCTTAATGTGTAGTGCACTGTTATACTGCGCATTAGTGTGTCACGGCAAAAACCATGCTAATGAGTAGCAGAGCTAATCTACTACACATTAAGCATCACAAAAAAAAAAGCTTGCTTTTGCTGCTGCGCAGTAGCAAATGCGCAGCAGCGAGCACATAGACACACTCAGCGTACAGTTAAATGCAGCCTTACGAGATGAGGAAGGGTAGCTGGAGTGCGTCTTAATATGTTAACCCTCTTAAACTAGTGGTCAGTTTCAGTTGCTTAAATATTTTTACCATTAATAAGAATTCCCTGGTTAGATTTATGTTTTTGTCCCTCTGATATGTCTGTTAAGAGACATGCAGTGTCTTACCTTTTTTAAAGTAGTTTTCCCAACTCTTCAAATGCTGATTAGCTCACTTTTTATGTATTATGCTTTCCTTTTAGATCAAGTGGTGGAAAAAAGGATTTATCTTGTAATATTGAAATTACACAGGTCCTAGATATCGAAGAGAATATCTGGTCTCCCAGGTTTGGACTAAAGGGCAAGCTTGATGTTACTGTTGGTGTGAAAATACATCATAGCTCTGGAACTCAGTATAAGATAATGCCTTTGGAACTTAAAACTGGCAAGGAATCCAACTCTATAGAGCATAGAAGTCAGGTATAAATATCAAATGTTTTTATATGGATTATAGTATTCTATTTTTTCTCTTGATCTGATAATCCTGTTGTGCATAAACATGTTCCACAAACATTTAATATTATGGGTGAAGTATGATAAACTCAAGGCTGTTCTTATGAAATGAACTAAGGAGTGGGATACTGCTTACAAATGCCACTTCAGTGCAAAAGTCCATGCCTCCCTGAGAAAAAAGGAGGTAACCTGTATAAGAAACTCTGTTTGTTCCTTTTTCCTTGAATTATTTGGGCAGTGGGTCATAAGGGAACTTCTTACAGAAGAGAATGTGAAGCTTACTAGGTTAACCACATATACCCAAGTAGGTCCAAATGGGGCCAGGAATATAGTGTGGAGACTTATGTCACCCAGAGCCTTTGTGAGAGGCTCTTCAGAAGAGATGATGCAACTTGGAAGTGTTGCATCTTGTAAGGGATTTCTGCAGGACTGGAGCAGGTGTGAAGTGTACAGTCATTCCTTCCTGTTTCACGTGTATACCTGGTATGGGGGAGAAACCTTTGGGCTAGAAGAGGGGAAAGAAAGTGTGGCAGAGATAACTGAATATGCATATTTACTTTTTAAACAAATAAATAAATGGTTATTACGTTTGCATTTGAAGAGACTTTTCATATTAAGAAAGATGCTTCAAAATTAAAAGGTATCAGTGGATGCATCTACACATGAAATTAACGTGACAGAATAAACTCCAGAGCCGTTCAAGCTGGAGTCAGCTGCTCCGAGGTGCAGTGTCTACAAGTGTGCTCAGGACTGCAGCAATTTGAGCTGGGGTAGAGCAGTCCCAGGTGGGCAAGGGGCCCAGGGGGTTGACTCCAGGTGGTGGCAGAGGGGCTGGCAGGAGCCAGGGGTCAGTCTCCCAGCTGGCTGAACTGACGATGCAATTTGCGCCTGGCATTTACAATCCACGCATGCATTTAATCATACTTAATGACTTTGTTGTGAAATAATACTGTCCCCAGCAGTACTATTTTACACCGGAGTTAATTTACTGTGCTGTAATACCAGCGCATGTGTAGACTGTGACACTTCGTTACAGAGCTAATTAGTCTACTCTGCAATAAAATGCACGTGTAGATGCACCCAGTCAGATTTATTTACTTTTAGATCTTGCTAGCAATAGTAAGGCTGCTTAACTGAAATTTATGGAGCATGGGTCCACCAGGGGCTCTTCAAATCAGTTAGGCATGTAACCTTAGGCTCAGGACATGGCTAAATTTGTTACTGTTGGTAACTGGGAGGTTATGACAGGATGGATCACTTTATGCATATCCTGTTTCTTATACTTCTCCAAAACAGCTGTCTTGCAGACAGGATACTGGGCTAGATGGACCTTTGGTCTGGACCATTATGGCAGTTCTAATGTATGTCCTTATCACTGCATTCCCATAACTGGTGTGTACTACATAGACAATACATTTGAATATATTGTACGAATATGTTTTCAGGTTATACTATATACACTTTTGAGCCAGGAACGAAGGATGGATCCTGAGGCTGGACTTCTTCTCTACCTTAAAACTGGTAATATGCATACTGTGCCTGGCAATCGTTTGGATAGGAGAGGTAAATGTTCCAGGAACATTATATGTGATTTACTCTTATGTTTACTCTACATTTTTTTCTTTAATGCTATCATTTATGAATATACTGTTCATTCTTAAAAAAAAAAAAAAAAAAAAATGTATTGGCTGAGAGAGTAATTTTTGGAATTTTAATTGATTGTTGAGATGAAGCACTCTGCTCAAAATGAGTAAAACCTGCTTTCTAGAATAATCTTGGATTAAAAGAAAATGCATTTTTGGTCTCTGAATTTATATGATGAACGTTGTCCTGGGTCACTTGCCACATACGTGCCCTTATATAATCAAAGCAATTAATAGGTGTTAAAAACATCTTATGTATTGTTTCTAATAATCTCAGAACCCTACCACCTCAGCACTTCCTCTTTTCTTTACAGAACTAATAAAGTTAAGAAACCAACTGGCCTCCTATTTAGTCCATAATGTGTGTAAATCTGCGATGGGAAATAAGCAGACACAGCTTGCGTCCTTGCCTCCTGTAATTAATGACAGTCAAGCCTGTAAATACTGCTCACAAATGCACAACTGTGTTCTTTATAGCAGGTGACCCATCAACTATTTTAGGTTTTGTGTAGTAAACGACTTTAGTAGATTAATTCTATATTTTTATTGGTTGATACAGTGGTGAGATCACAATACTGATAGACTGTATGTGTATTTGTATGAAATAACGTTCTCCACTCAAGTGCTGGATGTGGGAAAGGTGCAATTTTGAAAATTCTGGCCATTAGATTTATTGATAATCTTGCATGTCCAGATCTTCTGGTGGGGACATATGTTCCCACACACCTATACAGCAGTTTCTAAATTCAAAATTACTTTGTTCTTGTAGTATTTCCCTTCTTATTCAGATTAGTAGCATTATCCATTTGATAGGACCCATAAACTTTCTTGGTGATTCCAGATTATTCACTTCTAAAACTTGATTTTATATGCCCCCCCCAGCAGTTTGCTATTATCAAGAGTCTCTGGGTGTTGCCTCTGAAACTTCTTTCAGTGCAAGCCCAATTATATTTCATATATAAATAAATATGAAGATACTGATATTTTTTAGGAGCATTAATATGCATAATATTAAAAAGGTATATAAAGGCATTTTAATAGTGGATCCTTTACCAAAAACAATTTGGTTAAGCTGTTGAGAACATTTTTATTTCTTATATAATGCTGTGTTTGAATTATAGTTCAGGAAATCACTGTGCTTTGTATCTATAGTCATTCTGTCATTACAGAGATAATTTTAGTCACTAATTTGAGACTTTTCATGTGAATAAGGGGTATGGGTTCTATATATAGACTTACTTGCCCACATACAAAGAGGTAGATTTAGACTATGAGATTCTTCCCCTAGATTTTACTTTGTTAAACAGTAATCTTATTTTATCATTTGGAGTTTTTGTCTCCTATACATGTTTCATTAACTTTATTAAGCCTAGATAGACATGAAAGAAGAAGAAGCTAAAAACTGACTCCTACTACATTTGTAAAATTTTAGAGCTGTAGAGCAACAGATGGATGATATCATAATTCCTTCTGCTATGATACCCGTTATAGACCGAGAGACCCAGCATCTGAAACTCTCTCATTTGCAGTATTTCAATCTGTGGTATCTAATGTTAACCTTGGAGTTGCAAGCTGGAGAGGGTAAAAAAGGATATAAAAATATATGGATGATGCCTGCTTCAGAAAGGTAAGATGGAATATTAATATGGCTCCATTGTAGGGACCATATAATCATTGTACATAGCAGATGCTTTTCTAACAGGGAATGAGGGAATTATTTGAAGACAGCTGTTCCCTGCTTGGTTTCTTAGACCTTGTTTTCCCTGCAAGAGATTAGATTGTTCTTCTAATGTTTGGAAAAAGACTATGAATCATGGTTGCCTGAGATGCGTCAATTATACTCTGGGCGAGGACTACCAAAGGCTTTGGGCCAGTACAGTTGTTAGTGTGTTACCAACAGTCTGTTACTAGAAATTTAAAGCCACAAAAAACCCATGATACTGCTTTCTGTAAACTGTGCTTTGCTGTCTCATTTTTATAGGTTTGAATGTGCTGTTTTTTTTCTTGGCCCCACTTCTGTGATATATATGAGACTGAGACTGGATAATGCCTTCTACCTCAATTAATGACACTGTCTCCTTATCTGACACTGTTGAGCTTTGGATCATATTGTGTGCTGTGGCTCTGCAAAAGGTGGTTAAAAGTGGACTGAGATGTCTTCCCATTAGAATCAGCACAGTAGTTCTTTTTGGATTTCTTCTAGCAGCTGTAGAAGACATTGGTTAAAGGCAATTGGACTGTTTATGAAACATGCATAATATTTGCCTGTTACTACTCAGGGACCACAGGCAAATATCAGCACCTGGTTTACTAAAAACATAAGGCTCTATTTCACTACTTGGTTGAATGGCTTGGAGCTTCAGAACATAAAGGAGAACTACAGGGCTTGTTTTGTGATGCTTTTTTAAAAATGGTCTATGGTGTGATCCTTTGTCAGGGAGTCTAACATTAAAGCTTTTTAATAAATATAAAACAAATTATGATTGCTTATAGTTTCTCACTATTTAATTTTGGTGGGAGAACAATTGGAATGGCAGCATAACATTTGTTTAATACAAAATCTCAAAGTTGAAAAGGTAATGATTGTTGTATTCTTATTTAAATAATACAATAGGAATTCTATAGTGAAATTCTGCATCAAGCCCATAACTTCTGGTTGAGCTAAAGAGTATATTTTAAGAAGACAGTCATTTTTTAATTGAATACAACCTTATAATGTAAGTAGTTCATTTTCCTGTGGAAGGAAGTCAAGTCAGCATGTTCACAGGAGATTAAAACTGATAAGTGTTTCAGAGTTTAAAAAAAAAAGGAAAAAAAATCAATGCTGCTTGTACTTTATTATTATTGTTCTTGCTCTTTTCATAGAGAGAAGTCTGGAGATTGCATTGGAAACATGATCAGAATGGAACAGGTACAGGAAGTGTCTGATGGGCAGTATCTTCATTATTTCCAGCATAAAAGTGGTGCCTTGCCAGGAACAAACCTGTTGGTAGGTGACAGAGTTGTTGTGAGTGGAGAGGAGAAGACTTTACTTGGCTTGGCTGCTGGTTATGTTAAAGAAGTCAACATGACAAAAGTCTCTTGTTTATTGGACAGGTAATATAAAAGGAGGAAGAAAAGTGTGGCAATTTGAAAGGAGGTTTTAACTTTAGCATTAAAAAGGTTATTGTGATGTCTAAAACTTTCTAAGAGATCTGTTTTTGGTGCAGTCTTTCTGCCTGCCAACCCCCCCCCCCCCCCCCCCCCAAATCTTATGAGTTAATGATAAAATAAGATTAAGCCTGAAACTTCCTGGTTTTCTGCTTTTTATTTATTTTTTGTATGTGGTTGATTTACAGCTGTTCCTAAGCTGTTGGTCAATAAGTAAAACTGGTGATGTAAGTGGAGTTCTGAAGAATGTTTTGTGACATTGATGTCAAGTTCTTATAGCTTGTGTAGACACCAGGGTCACCCTACTTCTTTCTTGTATTTTGCTGTTAACATCATACATTTTTAAATCGGGCTTCATTGATCATATTCTGCTGAGATTAATTTTTAAGGGTAGGAAACTCTTGGTTCACACGGTCTATGAACTTAAGCCAGTGGACTGTCAGTGCACTTATCAAGCTTTTATGAGCAACAAGCAGATAAACATAGAAATAAATGCAAATTTATAGTTTGTTTTACTATCCCAATAATGTCTTTCAGGAACCTTTCAAAACTCCCTAAAAACACAATATTTAGGTTAGATCACGAAGAAGGTGGTTTCGGTATAGATGTCCCTCTAGGAAATCTTTCTAAACTGATGGAAAACTCTTCTGCCAGGTTAGTAGAATTGAATTACCTCCAGTTCTCTAGTGATTTATGTAAATATTCCCACTCTCAGCAATTTTGACAAATTTTTTTTTTCTCTATAGTGAAAAACTTCGCAGTTTAATAATTGACTTCCGCAAACCCCAGTTTATCCAGCACTTGAGCTCTGTTCTTCCTCCTGAGGCAAAGGAAACTGTTGCAAATATTTTAAAGGGTATAAACTATATTTAATTTATGTTGCAGTATGGTCTTTTCCTTGGTGATGAGACTTCTTATATACATTGTTTGATATATTATTTAAAAATATCCTTTTTGTCAAAGCATCTATATCAATAAAATGTAAACCTTTTCACTTGAAGACTCAACAATACAATCTTCTTCTCAAAAGATGGAAGATTCCAATTTGCCCTTATTCCTACACCTAAATTTATTATAGGCCAGCAAAAAAGCCTTGAAAAATATATATTTTTGTGCCTTCTAAGCTTTGATTTCATTAGACAACCAGAGGAACTCAGTGAATTTAACTCCTGCAGTGGGACATAAATGGTTCATCTGCTAAATGATTGGGTTCCAGCCATCTAAAACAGATGCTGGAAGGAGGTGATATAAAGCCATTGCCAAACAGTGTTCTGTATTTGTAGTGGCCAGCCCCATGATGAGTCATGTTTAGGTACTTATACAAGGTAGCTCCAGATCTTAGGGCTTTTGAAATAAGCTAGTTTGGCTTTAGTTTCAAAGACCATTGTGTTGAGATCTGCACCAGATAAGAACTTTCACAGCCTCTGGGCCAGTTGCAAAAGGAATAGGGGATGGGTGGTAGAAGCACTGTGTATAGTAGAGAATTCAGTGGAAGTAATGGGTCAAGAATGATTAGGGTCACAGAATGGTGGCAAATGTTGAAGATGTTGCCTTCCAATAGAAAGTGCATTTGCAAACTACCCATTTGTTTAAATGTTTCATTCTGGCAATCTATATTTATAGATTTTGTGGGGGATAGTCCAAGCTTAGTAGCTTGAGTCTATTCTTCATCTTCAGGCACTAGGAAAGTTCAGTCTGTACTACCCATAAGTAATACAGACCAGAGCATGTTGGTATACCATTTCCCTTGGCAGCCATGCATACATGCTAAACAGATGTGACAAAATGGAAACATATTTGGCATCTCTTGAAGAAGAGTACTGGTAAGAAATAATAATTAAAAACCACAGAAAGACCCTCTAAAACACTAATATGATAAAAAATGTGTTTCCCTGAAGCCAGGATAGAGAGCAATACTTGTTGCCTACTTAGTTTTAAAGAACCTTCAGATGTGCTATAGTGTTTGAAGTAGTTTTATAAAAAGATCTTGCAGAATTACTTTACGTAGTCTCTATGTTTAAGCATTTGGTAGCTAGGGAGAGAAACTTCAACAGCTTAGGTAAAATTAATTGCAAATGTTTTACTTTTTTCCTTTTCTGATTAAGGTCTGAATAAACCTCAGAAACAGGCGATGAAACAAGTCTTACTTTCAAAAGATTACACTCTCATTGTGGGCATGCCTGGAACAGGAAAAACTACTACAATATGTGCTCTAGTAAGATCATAATATGGCTTAAAATTAACAGTTTATTTCTAACACATGGGGTGGGATAAGCATGAGCGGGTTCATATAAAGTGCCATTTTCTTTTTGTGACCTGTACAGAACTACTGTCTGCACCATTTAAATGAAACAAATATGGAGTCTCTTTTGAAACAAAATGGCATTGCTAGAACCATAAAATGAATTTAGTGGTCTGGAGGACTTTTTTCCCCCTTTGTTTGTGTTGATGGGGGGAATGAGTGGCAAAATTAACTGTCTTCTTGAATGCTTTGATGCTGTTAGAATCCTGCGGCCCCAGACAAGGGGTGCACTGATAAAGGTTTTCTTGGCCGATACTGATAGCTGATTATTAACCAACTGTATCAGCTGATGCTGATCCAGTAACCAATATTTAATAATGCAAGGCCTTTTAAACTACTGATGTAAACTTTTTTTTTCTTGGCACACTCCAGGAGCCTCCTGTATCATAAATGTATCAGCGTCCTGGTGCTTAAAAATGGCAGTGGTGGTGCTTGAATTAAAGCTCTTTGAATGAGCACGTTCAAGCACCGCCACCACCATTTTTAAGGACAGGGACACTGATGCATGAGATGTGACACTTTAATCCAGCGGTTCTCAGAGCTGCTCAAATTTAAAGTGCCACCCCCCCAACCCCATGGAGCACATGTAAAAATGCCAAGGGACAGTTGTCTAACCCTGCCCAGCAGGGCTGAGGGGAAAGGTGTGAGCCTTCCTGGCTGCCCAGGGCTGCGTGGTCTCTGGGCCAGGTGTCTGGTCTCTCTGTCCAGGGCAGGGCCATGGGACTACTCCAGAAGGGGAGAAACCAGGCCTCTCCTCCCCTGCAGCCAGGCCCCAGGAGCTGGACTCATGTGGGGGAAGGGCCCCTTCCTTTTCTGGTGCTGCTGCTGTCAGGGGCAGGACAAGCCTTTGTGCCCCGTAGGGGAGTCTGAATGTACCTGACCCGGGAAAGGCAGGACCCAACTGGGCTGAGGGTTGGGTGATGCATGCCCGCCTCTCCTTCCTGCTCCCCTCCCTGCCACAGCTGAAGCAGAGCTGAGCAGGGCGAGGGCAGATGCAGGCTGCTTGCTGTGGGCTCGGGTCTCTACCCTGCTGCCTTTGCCCTGGGAGCCCCATACCAGCCATATGTCCCTTGCCTGCCTGGCAGTGGGAGGCACAACTCACCAACCCCCCACTGCCAGGTGGGCAGGCGGTGTGCCGGAGCAGGGCTCCTGAGGGAAAGGCAGCAGAGCGAAGGGCCCTGAGCACATAGTGAACAGCCCACATCTGCTCCATGCACAAATATGGGGAGACGCATGCCTCCCCTGTGAGGTGCATGCAGCAGCAGGGAATTGCCTGTCCGTGTCGTGTCGTTTCCCCCACCCTGGCTGAGATGCCTGTGGCTCTGTCCTGCTCTAGCCCTGATGCATCACTCTGGCTGGGCAGTGTCCCTAGCCCCTGCTGTTGCCTCCCTTCCTCCCTCACTATGGGCATTGATCTGCCCCTGCCACCCCTTCCCCTCCACAGACTTACCTGCGGGGACCTGCTCTCCACTCTGTCTGGCTGTATTCCTGCCAGGTACGTGTGTTTGGCCACACACATTCACATGAACCCCTTTCCTCCTGCTCCTGGCAGCCCCAAGGAGGACCCCTTGCAGCCTGGAATGCTGCCTGCCTGCAAGGGGAAACTTGCTGTTTCCTGAGGGAACCCAGGCATTAAGGGGGTCCAGCCCCGTGGGGGAGAGGGACCCAGGTGTCCAGGGGCCTGGCCAGGAGGCATAATTATTAGTAAGCATTATTGGCTGCAATGACCATAAAAAGCTGGTAGCCGAGTAATGTCCCTTTAATCAGTGCTGATTGGATAAGCAACTAATATATTGGTGCACCTCTACGCCAGGCTATATCAAAACTTTGCAATTTTTAATCGGATATGAGGTTTGGGGAGAGACGCATAATAAACAGTGGGTTCAGTATGAAAATCTGATGGTTTTGCATACATTAAGATATTAAGCAGCTGTAGAGTACAAACTCCTCATGTTATGTGGTATGCTTATGTTGATTACTTCTTGTAAATTGTGTTGCACTGGTGTGAACTATGTCCAGACAGAGGATTTGCTACAGTGGGTAAAAATCTCAGTGTAGACAGATCCTTACTTAATCATTCTTTCTTCTCACATGCTGTTTAGATCTGTAAAAGGCAATCAGGACTCATAGTAGAGATGATATCTTATAGATTCATAGATGTTAGGGTCGGAAGGGACCTCAATAGATCATCGAGTCCGACCCCCTGCATAGGCAGGAAAGAGT